ATCCAGCTCTCACATCCTTACATGACTACTGGAAAAACCATAGCTTTGACTCTACAGATCTCTGTAGGCAACATAATCTCTCTGCTTTTTAATATGCTGTCTAGGTTTGTCATTGCTGGTTTGCCATTGCTAAGACCTCTTTTCTATCCAGTAGGAATAACTCTTCCAACAGCACAGTAATAGTAAACACCATGCCCAAGCTGACACAGCCCTTAGGGAGTTAAGCAGTAGCTCAAACCCACACCAGCCAAGGAATCCAAGTCTTCCTCCACCGCCCCAAGACAGAGTCCCAGCCTCCAGAGAGTTCACAAAGTTGCCAAGAGAGCACGACCCGAATGACAGCAAAGAAAACAAGCAGCGCAGAGCACAGTGGTCAACGCAGCTACCTTCCTACCGCCACCCACGTCTTCTCACAACTGCTAAACGAAGACAACACTCCTGAATGTGCCTATTTCAAATGTGACAATTTATCCACCTCTCCTTAAAACTTATTTACCTGTCCTTGGAATTTGTTACTACTAGTTAAAAACTTGATAGCAAATAAAATGACTGGGACTTACATTTCACACCTGACTTTGTAAACAAGGATGGGAGTGACCTTTGGGCAAAGTGTTTAACCTCTGCCCTTCCCGGGGGTGACAAGAAAACTGCCCCACAGGAGGGCTCCCCTGCTCCGAAAGGGAAACAGATGCAGAGCCCGCTGGGCATTGCGTGGCACACGGGGTCGCCCCGCGCACCTCAGTCACCATCATCGCCCCGCGTCACCGCCACGTCACCATCGCAGCCCCGGGGCTCGATATGTGGCTGGCGCTCAACTGCTTGCTGATGATGCCCAAACCACGATCACCAGCACATCTGTGACTAAACAGAGGATGATCTGCTCCCGTATGTAACTGCCTCCAGGAGGAGACTAATTAAGTGTGGAAAAAAAACTGCTCCTGGAAATCTAGGAGATATGAAACGGAGAACCACTCTCAGCCTGAACACAAGGCTTGTTGGAGGAGAGAAGCGGGAGGCCTCTCTTAAGCGAGGGACGCATTTGTGCAGAGTTGACCCCCATCAGGGAAAAGGCAAGTCAGCAGTGTGTGTCAAGAGCAGGCCAGGAGCTTTCCCAGCTTACATAACGGGGTACAGGAGACCAGAGCGGGGGACTTCCAGTCTCCTCAGAAACGCGGGCCTGTCAGCGAGGACAGACCCCAATCTGCAGGGAGCAGAGCAGCACGAGAAGAACGGCACTCGCTGCCAATCCTCAGCTGCCATCCCCTGGCCTCTTAAATCCATCCTCGGAGCGGATGAGGCCCGCGAGGGCCACCTGAGTCCAGCGAGCCCAGGCACCTGTTTCACGTGTGTACCTTTAAAGACTTGGGCGACCTACAGCAGCTAGAACACAATCAAGCAAGTGAAAGTAAAAGACAAGGCCATAAGAATGCAATTACAAGACAAAATATTATAGCTTAAATAATCTGACCTTGACAACTGAAATGGTTCATCTCCTTGCTCTCTACAAGACTCAGCACAAATGTGCGGTCTTCCAGGAAGGTCACTCCTCTTGGCCAGGACTGCCTTTCCAACCACATACAGAGGCACACTTTGTCTCCTGTGTGTCACGGTGCAGAAGTCTGGAGCTCGGGCATGCTGAGGTGTCCGAGCACATCAAAACCACTTCGTAAGGAAAACCTAGGGTACCTGCGGGTGTGAAGGACCCAACGGTGCAACTCCTCCACGTTTAAAGCACCAACATCCTACCAAGCAGACCCGACAAAGCAATCTAGTTCCAACCTACTTCCAGCCTGCCTGCGCTCCCGGTGGAGGCCAGCCTGACATGACCGACAGAGAAAGGCCGAGGCCGGTCTGCAAACGCTGCCCATCCACTTCTCCAGTCTCTGCCCACCGGGGTGCTCCCACAGTCCATCGGGGGGCGACTCTACTGAGCTTCTCGGGTGTCGCTCTGGCCTGTGTCCCCCTGAGAGCTCAGGGCTAAGGGGGCCCCGCCCGCCCACCCACTCTGTCTCCACTGGCAGGGAGCCCAGAGCTGAGTCTCACGCCCACCTGACAGCCGTCCTGGGCACTGGGGGCACAATCTCCATCTTTCTACAGCCCTCACTGCAGACTCCTGCTTTTTTCATTCTTCTTAGGATGGTCCAATGATGTGCTTTTTATTGAAGCCACCTCAGAATCTTTTTGAAAAGGAGCAAGGAGAATGGAATTTTATAAATTATTACATACGTGTTAGTCACTCAGTCATCTCCAACTCTTTGCAACTCCCTGGACTGTGGCCCACCAGGCTCTTCTGCCCATGGAATTCTCTAGGCAAGAATACTGGAGTGGCTGTTCATTTCCTTCTCCAGGATAAGTTATTAAATATCCTCCCATTATGACTATATTTGATCCTCACTGTCCCCCAGAACTGCCCCGCTCTGCACTCTTGTACCTGCTGTTCACCCAGAGCACAGCCCGTGCTATTTCCAGCAGCCAGCAACTTCTCCCAGAATCCTGAGGCTGGGTGAGCCAGTCATGGGGCCTCTAACACTTGGACAACACAAAGTTTGTCATCTGCATTAAGTCCCTCCAAAACCGGGCAGTTCTGGAGGGCAGAGTACACCCTATGTATCCTCATGTTCCCAGAGGCATCAAAGCAAGCCGTACATCCTGCAGACACACAGTAAAGACATGCTCCATTAATGAGAACAGTAAGTCAACATTCTGGGAGCCTACTCGGAGAAGTCATGTGGGACGTAACAGGTCAGAAAAGGGTTTCTATCTTAAAGGTGTTTACAAACCAAAGAAAGCTAAAAAAAAAAAAAGAAAACTAAGGTATGTACACTACCTATGTAACCAACAGAGACTGCACTTCTGTAAAAGACATGAAAATACAAACCCTGGAATGGCTGTACCTGGCTCAATGCATGCAGGCACAGAGGCTTTTTGTTAAGAGGAGGGGGATCTGGGAGGGCATTCAGCCATAAATAATGACCCTGAAGAGGTACAGGCAGCAAAATTCTGAGACCAGCAAGAACATTCCCTGGCGCAGTAAAGAAGGGCAGGTGCAGCCAGACCACAGGGTGAGCCCGGGGGTGAGGGCAGAGGGCTTGGAGGCTGTGACGCAGAGCAGGGCCTCCACTCCCCCAGGCGAGTCAGCAAGAAAAACCCCCGGGAAACCTCCTGTCAGGAGAGACGGGAGGGAGAAAGCTGCGGTGACTGCTAACAGTGAAGACTCGAGACCCCGGCAGACAGGTACTTGAAGTGTGCGCTTGGGACAACCCGTCTGAGAGCCCACGCTGGCCCAGTGGCCGTGGCAGCCCTAAGGGCCAGAGCAGCGGTTTCCACCTCTCCTCTAAGAAGAGACCCCTTCTTAAGAGTAAAAACGATCCCTTGGCCCACCCCATCTCTCTCTCTCTCTCTCTCTCTCTCTCTCTCTCACACACACACACACACAGAGCTGTAATTTCACGTGGGTGGCTCACCACAGAGGCAGTGTAACAAAATGCCTAGAGCAACTCTTGGGCTCAGATCTCAGCCCTGACACTCAGGAGGTATGCACCCCCAGGGAACATAACCTTAACTAAGCCAGGTGTAAAATGGGGATGGAAAACATACCTAACCTCTTACATAGAGACATATCAAATGTTTAGCAGAGTGGGCCGTTCAGTAAGCTCTCACCCAAAGTGATGAAGAAAATGGACCGCGGGTGTGAATCTCCAGACCCTTCCCATTGACCTCACGGCTCTCCCAGACCTCCAATACCCCGGGGGAGCCACTGTCCTGGAAGATAGTGCAGAGCAGACCAGTCACCTCCCCCAGGAAGGCTTTATGTGGCCCCTAGAGTTCAGCATGGGCCAGGGCTGCGGAAGCCAACACCACCACCCAACAAGTGAGGGGACCGATGCAGAGGATGGGTGCTGGGGTCAAGAGGGAAACACTGGTCAAGAGATGAAGAGGTGGGGCTTAAAAGTGGAAGTGAGGGGGGAGGTGCTAACCGGCACCTCCCTGGCCAGTCAGCACCAACCAGACCACTGCTCTCAGGGCTGTGAGCAAGGGTTCCTTTCTAACCTGCGTGGCTTCACACTGCGATCACTTAGCTTGCCATAAGCCATACCAACAGAGTTACAAGAACAGTTTAACTGACTTCCCCCAAGATACTGAAAGCATGCAGTCTCTTGACTGAATTCAAGAGTTCTCTTCCTCAACCTCACATCTCCAGCCCGCCCACCTCTGCCACCAGTTTTCAAACCCGCATTTACTGTAATTAACGTAAACACAGTAAGAGAGGCAGAAGTAACCATGAAGTTATCAGGTAGCCAGCAGTCAGCATTGCCTAAAGCTCTAGACGGTTTCTGCTTTCAGCCCCAGGGAGACTGAGCGCAGTGAATCCCGCCGGGCACCTCCTAGTGCACCGATCGCTGCCTCAGTTGCCCCGTCTGTGAAGTGGGGGTCCTAAGTGGGGGTCCCTGTTAGAGCAGCTGGGAAACCAAACGAGATGCATCAGCAGGTGACCGGCCACAGTGGGCAGGGCAGCAGGCGCCTTGGGGTCACCACTTTTACTCGAGCCGCCCATCGTTTCCGGAGCGCCGGGGTCCGCGGGGTGGGGGGACCCGAGAGACCGGGCCCCGTCCGCCACCCGGGCCGGGCTCGGACACTCCTCCGGGCCCGGCCGGAAGGGGACCGGCTGCCCCACGTGCATGTGCGGCGGCGGACACGGAACTGCCGGCGCTCACAGCAGCTCCTGCGAGGCGGGCTTTCTGTTTAAAAAGCACAAAACAGGCGCACATTTCCTGGTCTGCATCCGCACAGCTCGGCTCCCTCTCGTTTCCTCCGCGACCGGGGGACCGGCGAGGGGCCGCGGCGGCAGGGAAGCCCCCGCGTGCGGACCCCGGCGGGGCGACCCCGGGGCTCACCCCCGGCCCCCGGCCCCAAGCGCGCACGGGGGCGCCCCAAGCCCCCGGCCCCAGAGATCCCGGCCCCCGGCGCGGACCCCCGGCCCGGACCCCCGGCCCGCTCACCTGGCCCGTGATGCCCGTGATGAGCGCCACCTTCCTGGGCTTGCCCGTCTCAGCGTCCCCGGCGCCTCGTGCGCCGGGGCAATGCGCCACCGCCTGGGCCATATCCGGGCGCTAACTGGAGGCGCCGACCGCCGGGGGTGTGCCGCGGAGCCGGCTGCAGGGACCAGAACCTCGCGGCCGGCCGCCACACTGACAGGCCGCCGGGAGGCCAGTGGGGCGGGCCGGGGGCGGGGCGGCCGGGATGCGGCAGGGCGGGCGCCGCGTGGCCGCGTCACCGCCCGACGCTCCGCGCTGCCCGCCGGGCCCCGCCCTGCCAGCCACAAGCCCCGCCCTCCCCGCCGGCCGCGTCACCGCGCGACGCTCTGCGCAGCCCGCCTGGCCCCGCCCACCCCGCCGGGGCTCCGCCCCCGTCTACAAGCCCCGCCCGGCCTGGGCCGCGCTCGCCTGGAGGGGCGGAGCTTGGGGCGGGGTCTGCGCCCGGGGGCGGGGCGTCGGGCGGGCCCGCGCGGGCTGGTCCATAACGCTGGCAGACACTAGGATGCTGGGTCTTCGCCCCAAGGCCTGCCCCTCTTAAGGGCCGGCAGTGGACCGGGCGGGCTGTCGGCCGCCTGGACTTGCTCTTTTCACGCTGCTTGTCCTCCCCTCCACCCTCCCGAATCTCCCAGAATCCTCATTGTGCCGAGGATGCTGGGTCGAACTAGGGACTGACCTTTACCTTGGGAGAAGGTCCTTAATTTTGAATCCAGGGTTCACGGCCCTGGATCATCGGCTTTGACAAGTAATTCCTGGAGAAAGAAAGATAGTGCTAAGTCGTGTCCGACTCTTGCGATCCCATGGCCTGTAGCTTGCCAGGCTCCTCTGTCCGTGGAATTCTCCAGGCAGGAATACTGGAGTGGGTTGCCATTTCATTCTCCAGGGAAACTTCCCGACCCTGAAATTGAACCCAGGTCTCCCGCATTGCCGGCACACGCTTTACAGACTAAGCTACGCGGGAAGCTATATGTAATTCCTGGAAACCTGCTGTAATACCTTTTGAGAAGTCTGGTTCTCTGCTTCCTGAAGGGCACTGTGTTATAAGCCCCCTGAATGGGGTCACACATGTGAGCAATGACCGGCCTGCTTTCTGGCTCTTCTCATGTTTCTCTGAGGCTTGGAACCAGGCTGGAGGTTCCAAGTAACTCGATTCAAAATGCTCTAGTCAGGGGACTGGCAGAGCAGGACCAGAGTCTCTGGCCTCACCCATGTGCAGCGTAACGAATTCTTGAAAAGACTGCACAGGTCAGTAACCCTGGACATGTCCAATTTCAAAAAATAATTCTGATGCAAGGTGGGGTCCTAGCTTGTGGCCTGCTGAATGTGGCTTCCACCTGGCAGCAGCAGGTAGGGCAGGGAAAGGAACGGAGGTGACTCAGACCCTGGTGGGGCAGCAAGTGTATGTACCTGAGCGCTGGCGGGAATCCAAGGAGGAAATGGAACTTCCCCGTACCCCTGCTCTGCCTCCCAGCATTGTGCATATTCCTCTCCCCAACAGACCTGCACAGACCAGCTTCACATCACACACTGAGTGACTCGGAGGTGCCTACCTAACTTGCTGGACCCTTGCAGACCTCAAATCCCCAAATAGAAAAGCTCAGGATTTAATGAAAAATCTCTCCGTCCCCCTAAGTCTCGTCAGGAATACCGCTTAGCTTTGTGAATAGACTCATCTTTGGATTCATTTGTCTCTCTCCTGTCCGTTCTACACAGAGAATGACTGAAGGACAGCTTGTGACTCACCTCCCTGGTGAACAGAGAGGCCCTGAAGCAGAGGAGAGGAGGCACCATCATTGGAGGAACTTGCTATGAAAATGTCTGTGAAATCTACCAGAGTCGACTAAAAACTTATGTTTGTCTTGATATAAATATGCTTTGAGTTAATTTGCAGATAAATTATTTAACATTTCCCCAAAATTGCTGGGGAAAAAATGGATATTTAGGGAGGATGTGCCTAGTTTATCTGCATCCAAGACCCCCGTCACATCTCTGGCCTGTCCTGCTAAGAAGCCTGACAGTGGAAGACCCCCCAGACCGAAGATCAACTATATTTTAGGGCCTGTAAACAATAACAAAACATTGAGGAAAATGGTAGTTCCGAGATACAGTGGGAGATTTAAAAGGAAGGGTATTTCCCTAGAAAATGTCTCTGAAAAAAGGTGATGAAACAGTGAGACAAGAGTACAGCCATTTTGGAAAAGGACGCAAGAATGGCCTTGAGTAAGCAGGCTCAGTAAAACAGAGCACCTAAAGGGTTGGGCTTCTGAAAGATTATCTCTGTTCCCTGATGTATGTACATAGTTTCCAAAGAACAAAAGCAGGATTGTAAAACCCCACCCAACAGAATTGCCAGTTCCCTGAAAGATACAGATAAAGACCTGACATGTGTCCCAAGCTGTTTCTGTAGGAAGCAGACCCCCATCCAATGAAAACTGCTAAGGACAAGCCGGTTGACCCCAGCCTTCTTGAAATCAGATGGTTGATGATGCTTGAAACTTCACCTCAATGCCAACCAGTCAGACAGCTGAGCACAAGGTAATCAGGTCTCTGTGGTCCCCACCCTCATGTGGCCTTTAAAACCCCTTCCCCGAACGTCTCAGGCAGCTGGTATTTGCTTCTGCCTTCTCCCTTGGGCACAGGCTCTCCTTCCTGTATTTTGCCTACCAAAGAGCATTGCAGGAGCGATACACGTTTCTGTGACCTTGCTGCCCCCGAATCTGGAGGAGCTCAGGGACAGCGGCAGGCCAGCACGCTGGTTTGCACAGACTGCCGCAGATGGAGGGCTTACACAACAGAAATCGGTTTCCTCACAGATCTGGAGGCTGGAGTCCGAGTTCAGATGTCTGAAGTGCTGGTTCCTTCTGCGGCCTCTCTCCTTGGCTCACCCCTGGGTGAGAAGTGTCAGAACTGGGTTGTACTGGAGGACACCCAGCTGATGTTGGAGAGTTGCTCCTTGGTGCTATGGGAAACATTCCCCAAAACAAACATTGATTGGAATTGTGTCCAGAACCTTGTAACATGTCATCTAAGAATGGTGATTGCAATTTGTAAAAAGCTGTTGCCGAGGTCACATAGCTAGTAGCTGGTAATGGTAAAAATCATTCTTGGTTCTTCCAACCCCATTCCATATTCTATCTGGAAAAAAAAAAAAGAAGAAGACTGAGAGATTGAGTTCCAGAGAATTGATGCTTTCGAACTGTGGGGCTGGAGAAGGCTCTTTAGAGTCCCTTGGACAGCAAGGAGAGCCAACCAGTCCATCCTAAAGGAAATACTCCTGAATATTCATTGGAAAGACTGATGCTGAAGCTGAAGCTCCAGTACTTTAGCCATCTGATGGAAAGAGCCGACTCATTGGAAAAGACCCCGATGCTGGGAAAGATTGAGGGCAGGAGGAGAAGGGGAGGACAGAGGATGAGATGATTAGATAGCATCACTGACTCAATGGACATGAGTTTGAGCAAACTCTGGAAGATGGTGGAGGACAGAGGAGCCTGGCATGGGGTCGCATAGAGTCAGACATGACTTAGCAACTGAACAACAACAGCAGAAACCCACATTTCCTGGGTTATTTTGCATCTAGAGTTTTTGGAAATTGAGTTCCACCAGTCAGACTGTGACAGGTGGAAGGGAAACGGCGCTATCTTTCTCCTTGCTGGTCACACAGTAGAAAGATTTTTGGCACCTGGACTCCAAGTTTAGGTCTGTTACTAGTTTCACCAGGAGCCGGGGGGGGAGTGGCGTCAGCAGCAGCTTCCTGAATTCTGGCTCGGAGCAAGTTGACGGTATACCCTTGACCTCAGCAGCCCAGTGATAGCCCTCCAGCTTCTGTTCCTCCACTCCTTATAAAGATTTCTTTTTGAACCAGTGTTTTTGTTGAAATGAGTGTAGATTAAAATGTATTTCCAGGAAATAATGCAGGGACACTCCATGTACCCTTTACCCGGTCTCCCCCACGGTCACTCAGAAACTACAGCAAAACATCAGAAGCAGGATATTGACACCGAGACAAGACGCCTATACTGTGCAGATCTCCCCAGTTCAGCCTGTACTCACGTGCACGTGCTTGTGTTTGGTTCCACACCATTTTATCACACGTGTGGGGCTGTTTATCTACCGGCTTGAAGTACGGGACAGTTCTGACAGCACGGGGACCCTCTGCCGCCTTGTCCCAGCCCATCCCTCGTCCCTGGGAATTGCGACCCTGTCCTTGTTCTGCCGCGGCCCCTTCACAAAGTGTTGTAAGTGAACTCCTACCGCTTCCAGTCTCTGTGGATCAGCTTTTTTCACTGAGCCTGAGTTTCCCCAGGGGTCCATGTCCCAGTTCTGTATATCAACAGCCCATCCGTGGTGTGGGTGCCCCATAGTTCATGCAGCCCCGACCCTAACCCGCTGAAGGAAATTGGGATCGTTTCCGGTCTGTGGGTAGGAACATGTACACGTTTCGTATACACGATTCCTGTACACGTTTTTTGTGGCTATAGTTTTCATTTAGCCCAAGAGTGCAATTACGGGACACATGGTAATTGCATGCTTAGTTGTTTTGTTTTTTAAACTTCCAAACTGTTGTCTTGCAAAGAGTTCGTAAACAGAATGTCTTGCTCTATAACTCCTTTCTGCTTGAGTTGCCTTCGGTGGTTCCTGTGTCCCACTCTGAACTCTGATGAACAAAGCAATGCAGACGAGATAGAAACTCCAAACCTGGGGCCTTGAATCTCCACTGAAAGGCCAGTGAAATGGTTCGTGTGTGTGTGTGTGTGTGTGTGTGAGTGTGACTGAGTGAGAAGGACTGGACCAGGGCAAACATACGGGGGGAAAGAACAGACCATTTTTTTTTACTTTCCCTCCATTTCAGGATTTATACCAGTTTTCCAGAAAATAAAGAAGGATAGAAGTATGAATTTTTAAGTCAAACCTTATAAGTGCTACTGAAGAAGAGGCAGCTCAGACCCCTGTCTTTCACTGTGTTTCTCTTCAGAATAAAATTAGCCCGGGCACGTCTCCTGTCCTGGGATTTGTGGCAGGAGCGGCAAAGTTTTAGAAAATGATGAGCCATCCCTAGGCTTTGTCAGGACTTCCTGAAATCTGTCACCTCTGCTTCGGGGTCTCTCCTTTGACACATGAGATTCACTGCAGCAAGCTGTTTAGATCATGTTTTCAGAAAAGGCAAGATGTAACCAAAATAGTTGAAGACCTGTATTTCCCACATTCTCACACGTACAATTGCCTCAGACAGCGCTCTGGCTCCAGGCAGACGAACCCGAGGATACTTTCCGGGCCCTGTCGGACACATGCTGTCTCTAGTGGAGCGCGTGGGCCTGCTGCCACCACACCTCTGCCTCCTTTGTTTTTAAATCTCCAAAGTTTTTAGTTGCACTAGTAGCTTTCACGCTAGAAGAGGTATTCACTGGAAAAGGTTTCCCCTCTGGTAATCTGTTTCTTAATTCACAAAAAGCCCCAGGGAGCAGGGCCATGGATCCCTCCTGGACCGTCTAACTAGAATCTCCACTCGAGACACACAGCACAGCTTTTCCACAGTTACTG